TTCTAGAAGTTTAGTATTAACAAGATGCATTCCAAATATTATTAATAGAGAATAATTTTCTTTTAATTTTAAAAAATATCATATAATGTGTAAGAGTTTATAACTAGGCTGACCAGCCGTCCAGTTTGGGCCGGATTGTCCAGTTGTACGCTCTCTGTTCAGCGTACGTTCCACTATCAATGCTTGAGTGTTTATTCAAAATTTTATATAGAGCTATTATTCAATTTAAATATATAATATGTGCTTTAGATAATTAAACTTATATTTTCATAAAGGTTTACATAATTATAATATACTTTTAATTAGGTTTGGATAATAAAAATATGTTCAGTAAAGACTAAATTTAATTAACTTGGTTATACATATTGACTATTGGTTACAATAATTAGTTTAAAAGGCTGTCTAGTTTTTGTCCCGATTTTATAGAAAATGAATGGACAAAATCCAACTTTTCGGAATAATATTCTGGTCAGCCTATTATTGTGGACAGCACGTGTTGTATGCCTCCGTCGACCACGAAGTTGTGTCCGGTCACAAACGACGCGTCATCGGACGACAAATACAACACGGCTTTTGTCACATCCATGGGCTCACCCGCCCGTCCCAATGGGCACATATTTTTAAATCTCTCCTTTAATTCGTCAGCTTTTGCTTTATTAGGGTGCGGACGGACTGCCTCCTCAGTCTTCACGTAACCGGGACTTTCATTGCGAACATATTAAAAGTAACATGCACATTATATTCATATTAATTTATTACAAATAAGCGAGCATACTTGATCCCGTTAACCCGGATGCCATTGGGAGCCAATTCGAGTGCTACGCATTTTGTGAACATATCCAGCGGCGCCTTTGACACTGACTGCAATGGCATTAACTGTTGACAAGTAATTACATTTTTAAAAATCTTTAATTAAAAAGGTTCATTCAATAAAGAGGGTATCTAAACTATGCGCGCATAATGCTACTATTACATAATCTTATACTAGGGCTACTGTAATAACATTGCGGACACTTTAATGCATTTTTAGATACATACTAATTGAAAAACCATGTCCATCAAATAAAATGTTTTAAATGATTAATAAATACCGGTTTAAAGGCCGCAACACTCGACATGTTAACGATATTACCCTTAGTTTTCTCCAAATGCTCGACACATAAGTGAGTCAACCATACGACTGACCGGAGGTTTGTGTTCATAATGAGCTCATACTTATCGAGGATATTCTCATCCTGTATGCTCGAGAATATACCCCGACCCGCGTTATTGACTAAAATGTCCAACTTTTTGAACGCCTTTATAGTATCCGACACTAATCGGCGACAGTCGTCATCGATGGTCACATCAGCCACCACTTCCAGGGCTTTAGCACCGGTAGGCGACGCCTCAGCGCACTGTTTGGCCACAGCGGACACCCTATCCCTTCTGCGACCGGTGACCACCACTTGAGCCCCGAGTCGAGCGAACTCTACGGCAGTGACAGCACCGATGCCACCGCTCGAGCCGGTGATCAGCACTACTTTGCCCGTCAAATCTCTGGAAGTCGTCATCATTTTAGTCTAAAGTAAAAATTTTTTTATGGTAATATAGTTTTGTGTTCAATAATGAAATGATTTTTAAAATATATTCTAGCACAAACAATATTTTCTATATAATTCTGTATTATTTTATTTAAAAAAACCTATTTCAAAGTAACAAGCAATGATTTTCATTTTATTTTCATTTCATTTTATTCTTTTTCAAAAGCTTTATTATTAGTACTTTTTTAGTCGAGGTTATATTTTGTAGTAGTCAGTGTAGTTTTCATACGACCGTTGTTTCTATGGGAAATGTTTTTGTTTAATTCTACCATGATTCTGCAATATATCAGATATAAGAGATTCATTGTGATTTAATATAAAATTACAAATAAAAATTATTTAAAGTAAATGTTGAATATTCATGTTAATAAATTGTATATAAAAAGGTTAATGTTAAAAAATATATCAAAAATATTTCTAGTTAACTCCGGGTTAGGAAATTTTCATTAATATATATTTTTTTCTATCAAATTCTTATTATATTCAGAATATAATACTTTTTAGCAAATAATGAGTAGGGTATTTTAACTTTAATAATTAAATAAATAAGTTATTAATTATGATGACCGGTCAACTAAAACAATAATTTAATACTAATTAGTTTATGAAAGTTTAGGCATTTTGAATATAGTCGCCTAAAAACAATGTATTTTCTCCCAAATTTTCCACTCAATATTGGCTCAAATTATAATAATCGTTAATTATATAAATAATTATTTTAGTTAATTAATAATAATTATTTAATATTTATACCTTATTTTAAACTTATAGAAATGCCGTTATTCTTTATATTGAATGTTTTTACCTAGCTACAATTCCTTGTCCTGCAATTGTTATTTGAAAAATTTTCTATTGTATTTCCCATAGAAATAAATAGAGATTCTTGATTTTTAAACATGAATTATGCCAGAACCACTTGGATTATTGTAGTCTTCTATAGCACATATGAAAGTTCATACTTTTCTTTACAAATTTACTATTATACGATTCTACCTAGTTCCTTTAGATTTACCTGAAATCCTGGCCTGCAAGATTAATATTAATAATAGGACCTCGGTAATGATCGATAAGTCAAAAAAATTGCTATACCTTTAACTTTAAGATCCCGTTTAGATTTTAAAGCTATTACATATAGTTTTTGAGATATGAGCCTGAACCTCTACCAGCTACTGGTGAAACACGCTGTACTTAACAGGTATTGTAGTTAAGCATATCCAGTTTTGCAGTGAAACAAACCAACTTATAATGTAAATAAATTAGGTTAGGGTTGGTGGGCTTTACTGTAATAGTGGGCCACGGAATAAGGGCCAGTTCAGTAAATCCCTAAGTAGTCAAGTTCTATTTGAAAATAATACAGTATTATCAATTGTAAAATTAAGTTGCCTATAAAATAAGAAATGCCCATTGATAGCGAAACACTTGCAAAACAGCATTTAATGTAAACCTAACTATTAGTTCAATGTTAGCTATAACTAGTGTGACCAGGTCCAAAACTTGAAACACTTGAAACATCGCACAAAAATACTTGAAAATACTTGACCTTAATTTTTATTTAAGTTTTAATAACAAATTTTCTTTTCGATAATTTGTTTCATTTGAAACTTTATGTTTACATTTTATAAACAATTTGTTATGTTATTGAAATAATACAGTGTGTTTCACCATGGACCTCCGCCTTTTAATTGCAATATCTCAAAAACTAAATTAGCTAGCAAGGTACTCTCGACGGTTTCTAAAACTAGAAAGTATAACAAATTTTTCGACATACTGATCACCCAGGTGCGACTTATATTAATGTTATTTCTATGGACACT